GCAATTACAAATAATGTCGTATCACTATTACATTTTAATATTCCGCGCATCGCGCGGGTGAGAATCTAGTTAACACAGTGAGAATATTCTTCGAAATCAGAAGATCAAAGTTGATGAAAAAATACAAAGAGCCCTAGAGGGAGAAGGTTTTGTGCTTACATACAACATACCGATCGATAGAGCCGGAAAGTGATTTCATGACCAAATCATTTCTTAATTTTTTTCTTTGTCTTTGTACATCTTGATTCATATTTTGTTTTCCAATCATCACAAAACATAAAATTTCATTCAAAATAATACTATCACTAAATATAAGTTAATGGTTCATAGATATAAATTTAATTCACTAAATTTAATCAAATATAAAAAATTATAAGTATGTTCAATATTTCGATGAATCAAAATAACAAATTACAATTTCAATTATTCAATAAGCATTCAAATATATTTAGAATACTCATTATCCTAAATCCCTAGCCCTACTGCCCTAGCCAACAAAGAAAAAAAAGGAAAAAGGAGCAAATAAGCCCACATACTAACCAAAAAGGTCAAATAAGCCCTTGTATAAGAGACTTTGTCCCGCTGTCGCCATTTGGGGCAGTTCCCGGTGGAATTTTTTGATGAATGTTTTTGAGAATCTTATTCATTAAGTCTTGTTTACTTATACCAAATTTCAGCTAACAATTCAAAATGGAAGGCATTCAAATAAATTCTTGAAGATAACTGCGCTTTTAACTGCGCAGTTATCTTCAAGAATTCATTTGAATGTCTTCCGGATTGAATTTTTAGGTGAAATTTGGTATGAGTAAACTAGACATAATGAATAAGATTCTAAAAAAACGTCATCAAAAAATTACAAAGGAAACTATCCCAAATGTTGACGGCCGGACAAAGTCTCCTAAATAATATTAATAAGCTTATTTTATAAATTAGAGGCTCCTAAAATTTGGAGGCCCTAGACATTTGTCTAAGGTAACTCCCCCTATGGCCGGCCCTGGTCGGATTGATTCGTCCAGAGCTCCGTGGAGGTACAAATTAAAAGTTGTATAATTTTTATCTCTCGCCGGACCTTTTCTTGAACCGTCGGATTCCAGTTTAGAAGGTAGAAAAACTAGGTCAAGGTGGTGCTCCCACTTTACCATTCGAAGGAAATCATAGACAGAGGGGGTCCGGGGAGGAGAAAAAGAACTGAATTCGACTTTCAGAGTTTCAGCTAAATAAAACACTGGTAAAGTTGGAGCAGATGCGAGTATTGGGGCAATAAAATAATAGGGATATAATAGACCTTTCATTTAATTAAGACTGTATTTAGAACTACCTCCGTCCCTTAAAACTTTGCCAAAGTTGACCGACACGGAGAATAATACTACCTCCGTCCCTTAAAACTTTGCCAAAGTTGACCGACACGGAGAATAATAAAGTAAAAACTGTGTGGTGGAGATTTGTGCAGAGGAGAGAGAAAAAACATAAACCACAAAATAATTGATTAAAAGGGAAAGTGGTAAAGTTTTTTGGGACATCCCAAAAAGGAAAGATGACAAAGTTTTAAGGAACGGAGGGAGTAAAGTAAAAACTGTGTGGTTGCGATTTGTGCAGAGGAGAGAGAAATAACAGAAACCACAAAATAATTGATTAAAAGGGAAAGTGGCAAAGTTTTTTGGGACGTCCCAAAAAGGAAAGATAGCAAAGTTGTAAGGGACAGAGGGAGTAAAAGCTAGACTGTATTTAGAATTACCCAGTTATGCTTTCTTTTCACTGTAAATGTATTTTCACATAAAACCCGTGATTTCTCCTGTCTTCTTTATATGCCTTCTTACTTTCTTAGCAATCAATAATGATTTTTTTAAAGAATAATGATCTTTCTTTATTCATATGTTTCTTGGGAGGGGTGGAAACTGGACGATTGGATGCAATTCCAAACCACACCGGGACCACCCGTTTCTTTTATTGTTTCAAGTTAAACATATATTTTTACATTTTGTGACTAATTCAATTTTAAATAGAATTTTGGTTTTCCTCATGAAACTACTCAAAACCTCTACCATGTGTTTACTTCACATGTTGCTAAGCTTTCTTTATTAAGACTTTGGGCTAGGGGAGGACCTAAGGGGGGCTAGGGGGCACGTGCCCCTGCTTTGGGCTCGGAAATTCACTAGTATCACTTAAGGTAAAAATCAGTGCCCCCGCTTCGGGATCGGAGTTTTTATTATAAACCAAGTTTAGTGTCTAGTGTGCTCCGCTCTCACAAATCTATAGGTCCGCCATTGGCGGCGCGTAAAATAATCACTGTTCTAAATTCATGTTTTACTTCATAGGATTCAAAACACCGCTTAATTAATACATGAAGGTTATGTTTAGTAAGCGACACTTTAAACACCTTTTCGAGTCCGTAAGCATTTTTAAGTTGCCTGCGTGCGTGTCTACTTCTTATGTCTTAGGGTGTTTTTACTTGGATTGTAATTTGTTGCTCTGATCTGGTCTGTTTAAGTTTTATCGAGTCTGGTCTGATCTGTTTAAGTTTGATCGGGTCTGGTCTGGTCTCAGTGTATTTTATAATTACGAAAGTCAAGTCTGGTTTAATCTAGTCTGGTCTGTTTAATTTTGGTCTGGTTTAGTCTGATCTATTTAAATCTGGTCTGGTCTGGGACTGAAAACAGTCCAAGTAAAAACATCTTTACTAACCTAACTGTGCTTTTAGCAACGAAGTAAACACGTCCCTAGTTTTCAAATTTTTAAGAACTTCCGAATGAGATCTCTTCAGAGTAGTTATTTTATGAGTTTGATATATTCACTTAAGACAAGGTAGATTCAGGAATCTGGATTGAACTGGACTGAAAAGTAATTATAGGCTTAAATATTATCGATGCAAGCTAAGTATTAAAAATGAAAATCTTACCGTAAAAAAAAAATGAAAAAAATAATAATTCCCTTTAGCATCGGCCTACCAAAGCACATATAGATAAAAAAAAATATAACCTAGAAATTATCTAAATGAATATTTCATTTCTAGGTTAACTGAATTTCTATTCAACATTCAATAAGTTGTGATTTACCTAAAGTTCACTATGGAGAGTGAACTCCATAGCACATATGAGTAGGACGATTAAAACTACAGGCGCCATCCGCAAATCCATTTGAGTCTTGAGGTGGTTTATGGTTCCACTAAACAAAGTTCGGTCGGACCGGACCTATAGTCTCCGCATCTCCGGTCCTAGTCTCCTCATCTCCGGTTCTGGTCATGGTTTTACTACCTCCGTCCCGCTATGATTATCTCATTTTACCTTATCAGTCTGTCTCACTACTATTGTTTCATACCAAATTTGGTAAAGTTTGTGTGGCTCTACATCATTCTTACTTTATTCTTACTTTATCAATTCAATATCAACCACATAAACCACTTTTTATTAATGTGTGTCACTTCTTCTTGTTCCATTGTTAGCGGGACTGATGAAGTAATACTTAAAAAAATTCGGCTGAACTAAGACCAGACCAGAAGTCTACCACTTTTAACCGGTTTCGTTTAAGGTTCTTGCATTGTTTGAATCCAAAGCAGAACCTGACAGACAGACAGACCACACATGTTGTAGGTCTTGGGCCTAAGAATCTTACTCTGGATTTTTAGGACCCCACTTCAATTACATCCAAACTCTAATTGACCTTTTTGCCGTTTTTCATGTGAGTTTGGAGAGGAATTTTACAATTACATACAAACATACCACCTTTGTTCTTAAAATCAAAAATCATATACCTTACTTTCATTATATTTTATTTATCAATGCATTAAAAGTTAGGAATTTTATCAATTCAGGGTCCGAAAGATAGATTAATTATCAATTCAGGACCCGAAAGATGAAACGTATCAGTATAGGACCCGAATGATGGAAACCTATCAATTTAGGACCTAACGTTTCATAGGTTTTGATTTATTTAATTTTTAATTAATTCCATTACTAATTTTTGATAAACTTTTCTTCACAAAAGTTTATTAGTTTAATAAAATGAAATAATATTTAAAAATTTTTTAATAAAAAAATTATGACAACTTAGGTCCTAGATTAATAGTTTTCAATTATTCAGGTCCTAAATTGATAGTTTTTCATCATTCGGGCCCTTTATCGATGCATTTTATCTTTCAGATCCCGAATTGATAATTAATCTATCTTTCGGGTCCTGAATTGATAAAATTCCTAAAAGTTAATATAATTCGAAGGTGGTCGTCTCAAAACATAATTATATGACCTTTCTTGAGTCTAGATGGACTCTATTAGACGATAATTGGGTTTTGAATTCTTGACTGATTGTAACTATAAATCATTGGTTTAATATATTGTTAAATTTGTATCGTTATAAATTTTCACACAGATTTTGTAAGGCTATAATAAAATATTGACTAATTGATGGTAGTATAACAATGGTCTATTTTAGAAACTGCCTTTTTGGTGCATCTAAACTTAGACATCTATGCAAATTACACAGCATATCTTTGTGAGTGACACACAACTCAAATGAATTTCTTCCCACAAATATGATTTTTCTATAATCTAATTCAAAATACAATAATATATGTGACCTGTCTCTTGACCCATTGTACAAAATTGGTAAGCTAAACTTTTGCAAATAACACTTTACTAAAAAAACTATCTTGCTGATTTCGGACCAATTATTTCCCAATCCCCAACCATCCTCTCTACATATTCTGATCTGGTTCTAATAACCAAACCAAAATTGCTCTTTGTACACACAATTTGTACACTCAATGTACACACTATTTAAACCCAAAAAAATTTACCCCCCTCTTTTCCCTTCACTCCCCCACCCGACCCACGCTTCTCACTCGCTCCCCCCGCTCCTCGAAAATCAAAAGTCCCCCACCCGGCCCACGCGTCTCTCTTCTTCCTTACAACGGCGAAAATCAACGAGCCGCCTCCTCGCTGCGGACTTCATCCTTCTCGAAAATCAACGAGCAACTTCCTCCTCGAAAATCAAACTTGCGGCGACATCCCCTTCCTTCTCTCCCACATCCCCACGAAACCGGCACCCCCACTTACACTGCGGACTGAGGTTGGACCACGACGCACAACAATGGTGCGAACCCCACTGGCAGAGATGGCCGAGAGGTATGTATCATTTCCCAACCTTTGTTTGTTTTTAGGTTTATTATTTAATTTGTTGGGTTTTTTGCAATCTTCGAACATTTGTCTGTGGACTGGTTTAAAATTTTGTCTATGATATAGTGTAAATCCTTTGTTGATGTGCGCAAGTTGTCTGTGTGGTGGTGTTAACTTCATTTTTTTGTTATTTATTGCTTGTGAATGAAATTATGTCTATGACATAGTGTAATTCCTTTGCTGATGTTTATAAATTGTCCGTGTGGTGGTGTAAAGTTCCTGTGGAGTGTTATTTATTGTCTGTGAATATACTTTAGGTCTATGAACGTCACCTTTTGTCTCTCTGCCCTAATAATTTATTGTTCTTCCAACTGCCAGAGCCCTGAAGTTACGCATTCCCAGTCATGACTACTTCCCTGCCCAGTATTCGGTGTGTTCAAACTTTAGAAATGCTGCCAAATGGGTACAAAGCAGCTTATCTGCAACAGAAATAGAAATTTTTCGCGCTTTACCATGGGGCCATCTTATTGACATCCCACCCACACAATTCTCTGGCCAAGTCTTTCACATGCTGGCCTTACACCTTGTGCAGGAGCAACCTGATGAGGAGCTGTGGTTTGCCATTGGGCGTACACTGTATAAGTTTACTTATGTGGATTTTTGCCGCATAAGTGGATTACCAGCGGGTGCTGAACCAGTAGGTGCTGCAGGTGATGTTTCAGGACAAGAATCTGGCGATGAAGCTGAACCAGTAGGGGCCATTGCTAAGAAGTATTTAGGTGGCTCAGTCGACATTACACATGTCAATTTGAAGAACAAATTTGAGAAACTGAAACTTTCCAAACGTCGTGATCAGATGGATGCTGTAAAGTTGGCCTCCTTGTTCTATATTGAGTGTGTGTTGCTTGCTAAGGACAACACTACGAGGATAAATGCATCCTCTATCAGACTGGTGAATGATTTAGAGGAATTCAAGAAGTGTCCGTGGTCACTTCGTTCGTACAAGTTATTGGTGAGTCATATGAAGGGTCTGATGGATGGTCAACCTCAGAAGTTCAAGGACCGGAAGGAGAACAATCCAAACTATAGAAATGCCAAGCTATTTGTCTACGGTTTTTCACTAGTTTTGCAGGTATATATGACAACTTCCCTATTACTTATTTCTTATTGTACGAACTAGAAATGTATTCTTTGGTTATTATAGGTGTGGGCTTACGAAGAAATTAATGAAGTTGGGAAGAACTTTGCAAACAAAGTGGGTAATCATGATGTGCCATTACTCAATTGGAAGGCCGAACGAAAATTTCATTACTCTAAGCTTAGACGAGTAGTATTTCCAGAGGTAATCTGTCATTGATTTTGTTGATGTTATGTATTTTTATCATTTGACAATAAATCTTCAATGATTTTTAAGGAGGAGGAAAAGCTTTCTGATTCAGAGGGGGGAGAGGAAGAAGAGAACCAAGAAGAAGAAATGACTGAGGAAGACCTGCGCTTGTTCGAAAAGGTTAAAATATTGGAGGAGCTGCAGGACCTGCGGAAGTATGTTCAAAGGGTTGAAAACAAAATCACTTATGTTGAAAAAAGTCTTTCAGAAATAAAGGTACTACTTCTGAAGTTGGTTGGCAAACCGAACCCATCGGTTGAGGAAGAGGTATGATCAAACTTACTTGTATGGCCATTTGCATTATCTACGCGACTAACACATTAAACTATATGCATTGTAGGTTGATAAGGATGCAATTGGGGATGAACGAGTACCTGCCGGTGAAGATGTTTTGAAGACAAGTGTTGTTAATGATGATGGTGTTGCTGATGATGCGGCTGCGGGTGACGGTGAGAAGAACGTACAAGAAGAGGAACCAAATGTAGCCACTGAAGAAGTGTCGATGCAGGTTGAGGTTGTGAAAGGAGATGCTGACCATGTTGCTGATAGTGAAGATGGTGAAGATGCCACACGGGCAGATGTAATCATCTCCGCTGTAATGACTGAGGTATGGGTTTTTATCTATCTTTATTGTTATTTTTGTAGAATTACAAATGAAGTTGTGAATTTTTCAATAGGTGAATTGGGAAACTGAGCAGAATAAGGTAGCAAGCAACTTCCCAGATCTTATGATGTCTTTAAATGAGGTAAAGTTGTGTTGTTCTGTTTGTGATTGTTTGTGTATGAGTCTCAATGTTGGTGTCCATTAATAGTGTTTGTCTGTGTGTACAAAGACATAACAATGTATTATATTTGTTGTGAATAGGACAACTTACCTCCGTTAACAGCCCCCGGTCCATTTGAAAATTTGGTTTGGGATGGAGATGATGTTGGGAGTGCGCCAATAGATGTTGAGGCCATACAAGTTGTGAGCAGGAAAGAAGTGAAAAAAAGAAAACGCTGTCGTTCCAAATACCAGTGCTCACCATATGTTGAGCCCATTGTCTCCATTCAACCTGCTATATTTCACCCAACTGATAATCATATTGCATCTCTAAAAGCTTGGATACAAGAAGCTGACACTGTTGAACCTAAAACGTTTGTTCTTAATCTGCCATCATTTGATGAAGTGGACAGGGACTTTTTCCGTGAGCTCGTGGAACCAGATGAGTCTTTATGGTCATATGTGAGTGCCTTCTCATTTTCATATATTGTCATGTATAAATATATGTCTGACATTGTTTTTTGTTAGCATATGGATGCTCTTTCCTACCTGCTTCTGAAAGATTGTGCGTCGGACAAGCCGTATAAGCTAATAAGCCCTTACTTTGCGGTATGTGTTGTTTATCTGTACAGAACTTACATAATTATTTAAGATAACATTGCCATAATAACTTTTTGTTTGTGTAGCATCAAGTCATGACTAAGGATTATAAGGATGAGAGTGCATGGATTGCTGATAGGTGTCTACCTAGTGTTGACTGGAGAGGTTTACAAAAAGTAAGTGATTACCTTCGTTATTCAATTGTTTGTGTGTTAACTATTTTTTGTACGTATACAAACATAGCGCATAAGTTTTTTATTTATTTATTGTGTTCAGGTTTTTGTACCTTTGAATGTTGATGGGATGCATTGGGTTTTAGCGGAAGTTGACCTACATGCAAAATTGGTACGTGTATATGACTCCATGAGAACAAGTAGGTCAATGTTGCATGCGGCGCATTTGTGTGTGAGACTTCCGCTACTCTTCCGATTCATACAAGCCCACCCAGATCTTTCTAAGGTAGAGCATTGGAATGCTCAGCTAGCTGCAGATGTTCCACAACAAGAGGGAGGGTAATGTTAATATGTTCACCTACAAATTTGTTTATGTGTAGTGTACTAATTTGTTTGTGAATACATATTAATTCGTTGTTATGTCTGTGTGGCAGAACTGTTTGCGGACTGATGGTTGTTTGTTATGCTGAGGCTTTGTTGTTGGGACTTCCCTTGACGCCACATTGCGAGTATGCGAACGTGGCTACAAAGAGATGGCACTTTGCGCTACGCCTTTGGAGTTTGAGGAAGCCAGTTTCTTAGAAAACATGCAATGTACATTTTTTTGCTAATCAGCTAATGTATCAAACATTATGTAGCTGTAAATATCTTTTTTTTGCCAACGGTTTAGGTTTTTGGTAACCGTTTTTTGAATGGAATGTATGATAATGTACATTGTTGTGCTATGATCAACCTTGTACAATGTCCTACAAGGTACTTCCACAGGAGGGTACATATGAAGGTTGTAGAAAACATTACTCTGCTGATTTTTGTGTAACGAAGTAACAATTTGGTATGGAATGCATCATATTGTTTTTTTTTGTTTGTATACCCTTGTGTCTGTGAGTATATAATATTGTCTAGGCGAGGTAATACGTATGTCTGTGACTAAATTATATTTCACAAAATATTGTTAGTGACAAAAATCAGACAAAAAACTATACAATTGTGCCACCAGTAGCTGCACCGTTTAACACCAAATAATTCACATCAAAGATAGATTTAAATCTAAACCAGTAGAGTACACAATTGGCACATTAGCTACACCGTTACTTTGGATCGTTGTGGCAGCGGCTCGTGCATTATCCTTCTTAGCCTTTCCTTTCTTCTTCCCCTTTTCTAGTGGACCCTTTGCTCGGTTTTTCCTTGGAGCTCCCTTGCGCTTCGTACATTTAGGATCTCCAATAGGTAGAACTTCGACCTCGCCACCTATACTTGTGGTTGGGTCTTCAAGTGGTGTCATGTTGCCACCAATAGAAGAATTGTTAACCGGAGGAGTATATGTGGACAATTGGGTGTCCAACCAAAGGAGGACTTCGTTGTATTTGGCCTCATCATCTGCTATCATGTTGGCAAAACTCTCAAAGGTCTTACATAACTTGTCAAAGCGGTGTTGTTCAACCGTTGTAATCCACCCGTCATAATTGATTTTCACTCGTTGGTACGCTCTTTTCATGTCTTTCCTCCATCTTTTCATTAGGTACACCTCGGGCAAGAGTTGTATATCAAGCCGAATTAGGACCACAATTAAGTGTTTACATATCATTCCCCTAAACTCAAACAAATGACAACTACATATTCCAAAACAAGTAATTGGGTCAAACTCAATATAGAAGTTCACATTCTTCTTAAACCCATTAATATCCATACGCTCCTTCACCATAAAATTTTTACCATCTTCACATACTAGGAGATCACAATAAAGCTTTCCAAGTAATTCCTTTTGAAACTCCGCAAACTTGGAAAGAGTGTAAATGTGTTGCACTTGTTTTTCCATTGGATATGTAGTCACACATGGAATCATTTTGGTAAATGAGTTAGTATCCGCTTGAAATTCTTTTTCCACCTTATCACGCAAAGCACATCCGTATTGTTCAACAAATTGTTTGAGAGTGGTTTTCGAATTCACATACTTATCAAAAAATGCATTCATGCTCTCACTTCGTTGAGTTGTGGACATGCCCGCCCAAAAGGTTGGCTTTAAATAACATGGTACCCAACGCTTTCTTTCATTGTACATCACCCCTAGCCATTCATGCTCTTCAAGTGAAAACCTGAAAGCATATACACTACAACAGCTCAGTTTCACAATAAATGAAAAATAAGTTGTTCACTGCCCACAAACACTTTTATGACTGTGAACTACAAAATTTATTGTCTATGACCGATACACATGTCTATGAGCCAGAAAACTTACTGCCAGTACACAAAATTAAGCATACAAATTCATACCTTTGAACCATGTCAACCCATTTCTCCTCAAACTCTTGGGTGTATTGGGAATCATAAATGCAGTCATGCAAAACATTAAATATTTCATCTTTTTGTGCATCCCCTCCGAGTTTTTCGGGTACCTTTTTCATGATGTGCCATAAACACCATCGGTGGTTCGTGTTTGGGAAAACAAGTGCAATGGCGTTTTGCATAGCACGATCTTGGTCGGTAATAATCCCAATTGGAGCAATGCCATCCATACATTCAAGCCATGCTTTAAACAACCACACAAAGGTTTGTGTATCTTCATTAGAGACTAATCCACATCCTAGTAGCATTGATTGCCCGTGATGATTTACGCCGACAAATGGTGCAAATGGCATGTCATACCGATTTGTAAGGTAGGTCGTGTCAAACGTTATGACATCTCCAAATTCTTTGTACGCATATCTACACCTATTGTCGGCCCAAAAGACATTACACAATCTTGACTCCTCATCTAAGTCAAGTGCAAAGAAAAATCCGGGGCATTGAGCTTGCATTTTAGCGAAGAACCCTTGAATGGCAATTGCATCCCCACTACCTAACCTAAGTTTTCTAACTTTATCTATATAGTTCCTACAATCTTTTTCAATGAAGGGAAGTTGATCATACCCACCGGCCTCAACAACGGCCGCGGTGAAGCTTTTATTAAGTCGTATTCCCGCAACATCATTTATTGCAAGTTTCCTCGCCATTCCATGAGTTAACTTCCGATTGCATCGGAATAGGCGAGCCTTTGTTGGACTCATAGGATGTGAATGTTGTAAAAAGACTTTTGAAATTTGCCAAATTCCCGCATAATTTACGTGCGCTCGTAGTCTAGCTTCACACCCTATTTGCATTGAAGGTTGGGGCTTCAATTGATTTTTTGACTGACTACATCTTCGACCAGCCCGCGAACATTCTAGTAGAATTGACACAATGTGTTCTCCTCTTTTGTCTTTAGTTGTGCTCCTAGTTCTTATAGGAAATCCCAAACGCTTCCCGTATGCTTTGTAAAAATCATAGACTGCTTCTCTACTTTCAAACTCCATACCAACTTCCGGATCTTGACCAACTTCATTCTGTTTTGGCAGCTCTTCTCCATCTGTTATGTTACATGATTCATTTATTAATGTGTTCTAACCAACTTACAATATCACACAGACAGTGATATATGCACACAGACAATTCAAATCTTTCACAGACTAGTTGAAATACTACACAAACAAATAAATCTTCCACTGTCTTCATACACAAACAAACACACACATAAACAAGTGACAGCTGCTACGACTTGCATGTGTCACCAAACGTATGCATGCTTATGTGTCACAGACACGTTGAACACTACACAAACAAACATGTTTATGACATTCTGCAAACACTAACAACCCACATAAACAAGCATAAACCCACTAAAACTCACATAAACAAATAAATTAACACATAAACAACTTCCACCTCTAACAACATGCCTGTGAGAGTAAACGTATTTCAACGTTCAAGAAGATTATGTCACTATACCAAGGTCAGAAACGACGTCCATGGCCGCCGGCGACGTCAGCCCTTCATCTACCCCGGCTAGGTTCGTGTGATCGTCATCTTCTCCGGCTCCAAGAGTGCGTCCAACAACATCTCCAACTCCGGTGTTATCTCCAGACCCCTCTCCGCCTCCATCCGTCATCCCGTCACCTTCTCCAGCTCCGGCCGTCTGTCCTTGAATTTCTCCAGCTCCGGAAGACATCCCAACTTCACTGCCTCCGGGATTCTCATCCCATGAAGCCCAAAAATCGTCGAAGTTAGTCACCAACGTGTCGTCGTACGGATAATCCATCGAAGAGGAAGCTTTGTGAAAGTTGATGAAGGTGGAAGCTTGTTTGTTGATTTCGTTGAAGGGAAGAAGAGAAAGGAGTGGCCGAGTGGGGAGAGAGTGAGAAGCGTGGGTCGGGTGGGGGAGTGAGGGGAAAAGAGAGGGGTAAATTTTTGGGGGTTTAAATAGTGTGTACATTGAGTGTACAATTGTGTGTACAAAGAGCAATTTTGTAACCAAACACATACCCTGTTTAGAAAAACCATAGTCAAATCAACCCATTCCTAATTTGGAGGAACAAGAAGAGTACTTAGGTTCGATCAATTCAAAGTAATTATTTCAATGTGTTCTTAATAAACTCGATTATGACCCAGTTTCAAAATTAGAAAAATGTCCATTCTTCCCTTTATCCCATGTTACTATAAACTTTTGTTGGAAGATGCAAGTTATAGGATGCTCTCAATTCCATAAGGAAGATTCTTGAATCAATATTTTGTCTCAATTTTTTTATGTTAGGTCTAAATGTGTCACTATTCATTTTAAATTTTCCAAATTTTAGAACATAGAGGTCTAGGTGCTTGAGTGACGTTAACACTCGAGTTTCATCCTAAAAGGTCAAACTGATATGAGGAGTATCCCAAAGTTTTATATTCCGTATAATGTTTTTATTATTTTATAGTTTTCTGTTGTGAGTCAAATACTTTAACACGCCCCTTTAGCTCGAATCAGGCTGGACAACATCGAAGTGTATAAATGGGTCAAACAACCCTTTAACAAGCTACTCTTAATCATGAGTACTAATTAAACAAGTAGTCAAATCACAATCGGACTTGACTTTGATATCATGTTAATATATGAAGTTTCATCTTAAAAGGTCAACCTGATAGGAGAATAGTCTAAAGCCTTATATAATGTTTTATTGTTTATAACTTTCTTGTGTGGGGCAAATACTTCTAACTCTGACTATCTCTTATGTTTATTTATTTTATTAAATATTTCGTTAACCAAACTGAATTAAATTAATGGTTTGCTCTACTTTGCTGTGATGGCAAACAGGATGGATCCTAAATTCCTAACCTTATATTAGCTTGTACTAATAGAGATGTTTTTAGAAGTTGTCGGCTCCAAATTAAAAGAAGCCATTCCGTATTTATTATTATACCATTAGTTGGTTCGACACATTATTGATGTGTGGAGATAAAAGAAATGGTTAATTGCGTATATGTTAAGGCAGTATTATAATCATCCAACAAATTATTATGACATTAGATACATACAGATGATGGATGAGCCATAAAAATTAAAGAAGGGCAAAGTGGTTACAGATTGTGTAACGAGTGATTCAAATGTGTGCACGTATATGTATCTATCTATGTGTATATGGACAAGCAATTGGGAGTGTAAAATAATGACATAGTCTTTTCCTCTTAAAGTGATCTCAACTTTTTTGTACTTTCTTTGTCAAATAATCGTTTTATTTTGAAATTTTATAGTTTT